CCCAACGAGATGGATTGGCCAGGTGGCATCATTGATGGCATTGAGTGTGGCAGCGGTAATGAGGTTGGCCCAGGATCAGACATTGTTTCATTCTTTTGTGCATGGGGTCGCTATGAGTTGGTTCCGACTCGATGGCACCTGACAACAACAACAAATATGGGTGAACATAGTTGTAAAGTGTTTAAATATAATGTTTCTTAGATTATATGTATGTTATTGTTGTTGTTAAGTACAGTCGAGTCTGTTCCGACTCATAGCGTTTCTGAGAAGCAGCTGGTGGGTTTGAAGTTCCAACCTTGTGATTCACTGTCCAGTGCTGATCCTACAGCACCACACCAGGAGTCCCAGAAATTGGCTTATAAAATGTTTTTACATGGAAACACTACATTATTAGTTACAACATTGTAAGTAATTGAGCAGAAGCCTTCTTCCACTTTCCTCCTTCTATCCTTTGACTGCTACTTCATTATAAAAAACAATATTGATATGCATTCACAAATACTAATTGCTACAATATTGTATCTGAAACACCAGAAAATTTGAGAACATCAGCAACTATAAAAACTCTGGCAGCGGCAATGAGACGATATACGATAGAATGAATGTAAAACTAATGTTCTCCCATGTAAACTATCACATAATTCACAATAAAACATTTAAGAAAAAGCAAAACAAAAACCCTGGCAGCAATGAAAATCAGCTGTGCTTTTATCATATGCTGATGAACCCTCATGATTTGAAGCACCATTGTAATTGGCTAACAATGACAGCTCTCACAGGAAAGCACATTGAAGCTTCAAGAAGTAAATGCCCATAGAGTTTTAGTCTTGTAGGCATATTGGCACATGTAATGTGGGCTTACAAAAAAATGTTTTTGTTGTTACAACTAACTACAGTAATCACTTTATTAAAAAAACAACAATTATACATTTCTGCTGAAATACTGCTCAAAAGTTTTATAGACTTTTTTTTTTGACACCTTCTCTGTCAGTACCACCTGTACAATCCACAAAACCCCTACTTACCTCCCTAATGAAGTCACTGAATTTGACACTAATTCCTAATACCAGTACCATACTGTTCTAAATACTGTGGCTTTGTGATAATAGATAATATTGTAAGCATTAATAATCTCCCTTCACCTTCTTTTATCAAAAGTTTCTCTAGATGAACCACAAAACCATTGTGTAACATTCTCCTCTCTTTAACAACCAACATTTTGACAAACTTTTTGTAACATCCTTACTATAATTTCATGATAGTTCAGAAGAATTTGCAGCATTACAGCATCGATCTTCCTATCTAAAAAATGGAATACTTCTCTATCAACTAAATCTTCAGGTCACACACAATAAGGCTATTGCTCTCTTGGATTGAATTTCCTTTGAAATATTTTTAAATTGATTATTAAAGTGTAATTGATTTTGTGGTAATTTTACAGAACCATGGTAAAGTCAAACAGTTTTCCAACTTTCTTTCTTCTTTTTTATTTTTTTAAAGGGAAGATTCTAGTTCTACTATCATATCATCAGCAAGTAATGAATTATTTTCTCTTTTTTATGTATTATTTTATTGCTTATACATTGCTTATATATTTATAGATGGAATTATCCTAAGATGATAAATTATGGTGTTGACAAAGACTGCTGAACGTACCATGGACTTTAAAAAGAACAAATAAATCTATCTTGGATGAAGTACAGCCAGAATGCTCCTTGAAAGCAAGAATGGGACTACTTCATCTTAGATACTTTGGGCATGTTATCAGGAGGGACCATCCCTGGAGAAGGACATCCTGATTGATAAAGTAAGCGTCAGCGAAAAAGAGGAAGATCCCCCAACTAGATGGATTAACACAGTGGCTGCAATAATAGGCTCAAACATGAAGGCAATTGTGAGGATGCCTGTGGGCTAGGCAGGGGTTTGTCTGTTGTTCACCATGAGTTGGAATCAACTTGCTGGCACAGAATAACAACACAACAGTTGAGATTGTGGGAATTCTCATTCTAGCTCAGTTTGTAATAGAAATTCTGACATTGAGACAGAATATTTTAGAATTAGAAATGTTAACTTAATGGATTTCTGGTGTGGTGCTGTGGATCAGCACTGGGCTGTGAACCTCAAGGTCGGTGGTTCAAACTCAACAGCTGCTCCTCAGAAATTATGAGCCGGAACCAACTCGACAGCACTTAACAACAGCAACACATACTTTAATAAAACATTTCTGAAAAGGAAATTAGGAGAGCTATAGCTATGCCATTTACAATGGAGTCCTGGTGTGGCACTGTGGGTTAATGTGCTGGACTGACAAGTCATTTGAACTGCAAGATCGTTGGTTCAAGCTCACCAGCTGCTCCTCGGAAACCCTATACAGGGTCACTATGGGTCGGAACCGACTGGATAACACGTAGCATACCATTTACAATAGCCACCCAAAAGATAAATTACTTAGGAATAAATCTAACCAGAGAAACAATCATCTGTACAAAGAAAACTATCAGAAACCAAAAGAGAGTTACAAAAATTAAAGAATATACCATGTTTGTGGTTAGGAAGACTTAACATTGTGAAATCTATAGATGTAACGCAATCCCAATCCAGATTCCAACACCATTCTTTAAAGATATGTTAAAATTGATCATGAATTTTACATGGAGAGGAAAAAGACCTCAGATAAGCAAAGCACTGCTTAAAAAGAACAAAGTTGGAGGTCTCTCACTCCCTGATCTCAAAATTGCCTACACAGCCACAGTGGTAAAAACACCCCGGTACTGGTGCAACAAAAGATAAATACATCTATGGAACAGAACTGAGAACCCAGAAGTCAATCCATCCACATACAGTCAGCTGATCTTTGACAAAGGGGCAAAACACATTAAATGGGGAAGTGATAATCTCTTCAACAAATGGTGCTGACAAATCCAGAAATCTATTTGCAGAAGAATGAAACAAGACCTATATCTCACACCATATACAAACCAAACTCAACATGTTCTAAAGACCTAAATGTAAAACCTAGAACTATAAAGATCACCAATGAAAAAAATAGGGACAAGTTTAGGGGCCGTGATACATGGCATAAATACACTATCAAATATTACTAAAATCACAAACAGCAGAAGGCAAAATATATGACTGGGACTTCATAAAAATCAGGGACTTAGGTATGCATCAAAGATTTCACCAAAAGAGTGAAAAGGGAGCCCACAAACTGGGAAAAAAGTTTTAGCAATGACATGCCAGACAAGAAACTAATTTCTAAAATTTACAGAAAATTACAACACTTCAACAAGAAAAACATAAACAGCCCAATTTGAAAATGGGCACAAGAAATAAACAGACACTTCAGCAAAGAAGACATTCAGGCATCCAACAAACATATGAAGAAATGTTCACAATCGTTAGCCATTAGAGAGATGCAAATCAAAACAACAATGAAATATCCTCTCACCCCAGCATTAAAAGCAAAGTTAAAAATAATAATAATAATAACAAAAAATAATAAATGCTGGTGAGGGTGTGGAGAGACTGGGATCCTCCTATATTGCTGATGGGACTATGAAATGGTTCAACCACTCTGGAAAACTGTCTGGCGCTTCCTCAGAAAGTGGGAAATTGAAATACTGTATGATTCAGCAATCCCTCTTCTTGGTATATATTCACAAGAAATAAAAGCCAGGACACGAGTAGATGTAGGCACATGTTCATAGATATTCATCACAGCACTATTCACAATAGCAAAACGATGGAGACAGCCTAAGTTCCCATCAATGGAAGAATGAATAAACAAACTTTGGTACCTACACACAATGGAATACCATGCAATGCTGAAGAATAATGATAAATCTGTGAAACATCTCATAACATGGATGAACCTGGAAGACATTATGCTGAGTGAAATAAGTCAATCACAAAAGGACAAATATTGTATGAGAACACTATTGTAAAAACTTAAGGTTTTCCTCCTAAAAGAAACATACTTTGATGGTTACTAGGGATAAGCGGGGAAGGAGAGTAGTTCACTGGCTAGAGGGCAGACACATGTTAACTCGGGTGACAGGGAGGGTAATATACAAGAAGAGGGAGGTTGGCAGAAGAACGATGAAGAAGGTGAAGGCATAGGTAGGTATACAAGGACTAAAAGGAACGTGATATAGACATAACCTTGGAAAAACAGTGTTCTATGTATAGATACATAGCTTGAATGGGTATGGGAGGACAAGTGTGATACATAAATACTTATATACCCCACAAATAAATGAGTTTGACAGAGGATATCTGTACATAGGTAACCACAGGGAGGAACGGGACAACTGTTGTTGGCTGGAGGGAATTGCAATCATTGTGATGAAGCAAAGCTATGATATGTCATCATAGCTTTGCTTTGTAAAGTGATGACAGTGTCTATAAACCTTCACTCAGTTCACAATAAAGTTTTTTTTTTTTAATTAAGTTAATTGAAATAAGAAACATGTGACTTACTTGTCAATAATTTTGGAAGGATGTTACTTATATTATCTTTACTTTTCGATTCCTTCACCCTTTTTAATGCCTGCTGAGCTTGCCAGTGCCTTGGAGACAATTCTAGCAGAAAAAATCCATATTTCATATACTCCTTAAGGAGGAATTCTGTTTTTGCTATCTCACTATTCCAAAGAAACAGAGATCTGATTAGATATATCTGTGTGCAAACATGTTAATTATAAAAGACTTTAAGAAATGTATTCTTCCGATTATGTTGAATATTTACTTACCAAAACTGGCCATAACATATGGACTTAATTAAGATATGAGGTGAGAAAAGAAACACTTACAATGATGCTATTTGAATAACACTTATAATAATCCTATTTGCATAAGAGTATACATATATAGAAGAGACTGGTAATGGTTTTGCTCTACTTATTTATGTGGTAAATATTGTATTAGGTTGAGACTAACTCTAGGCCTTTCCACATTTCAACATAATAATTTTCCTTGTCACCTTGACTCTCTCTTTGAAATCTTCTATTCGGCTCTTTTACATACTTCATCATTACTTCTATCTACTTTAGCTACTCTGCATCTTCAGAGCAAGTCCCAAGAGTCAGTTATGAACCCTATTTAGGTCTTTTCTTTCTTTCCTGTATTTTTACTTATCTCTCACTTTTTTCATGTATGTTGACATTTATGTCTTCTCACTATTGTGTTTTTTGTTTTTTTTTTTTTAAGGTTTTTATTGTGGATTGAGTGTTTACAGGGCAGATCATCAGTTTTGCATTCAACAAATCACACACCTTATTTCATTACAATGATTATAATCCCCTCCATGTGCCATCAGTTAACAGTATTTCTCTCTATTCACTTTAGCTTTTTTATTTAAACAACAACAACAACAACACTCAGGCATATATAATAATTTACACCACCAAAGGGCACATTCTGCAAGTCTGCCTCCTGGCCACCAGCTCTTAGTCCCTCTCTTCCCGTGAATCTAGAGTCCTCAGCTGCTCTCTCTCTCCATGTCCCCATCTCTGCCTCCGTCTCTGTTGTCACTGCTTCTCTGGATAAGGCCCCTCATTCTGCTTGTGCTCTTCTCCCTTGATGGTCCCAGGGTCCTCTGTTTCTGGACTGTAAGATTAACCACTCCCCTGTTTTTGTTACAAAACTTCTACCTTGACAATTGTGACAGTCGCAATTAGTCATGATGACAATTATTCACTATTGCATCATACAATTATCCCCATCTCTTTTCACCAGACCCATCTAGACAAGATGAAAACTATTCAGTGGGGATTCTTTCTTTGCCCCCATACTCTTAAACCAAACTCCCTCTTGAAACCTTGCAAGCCAGTCACTTAATGCCTTTATCGGCCCCTCATTTTAGGTAGCCAGTGTCTAAGTTGCCAGTCCCTATCTACCCTGTGTACAGAGGGGATAGCATTGATAATTCATGTGAAGACTCCTTCCCTCTCTGTTGGTATTTAGAGTTACTATCTCCATGAGTATAGGTCAGGCTCATCAAATTATAGCAATTTACCCTTGTCTCCTTTATTAAAAAAAATTTTTTTTTGTAATCTTCCTCTTGTCGAGTTCTTATTATCAAGCTGTTGAGGCTAACTCAAATTGGTACTGTCTGCAAGTTTGGGTGTTCTTGTGCATCTTCTCTCACTTCATTTCAGCTGGATACTTCACTCTCAGCTCTAGCCCTCTGTGGCTATGTCCTTGTCCATGGGCTCAAGTGTCCTCAGGTCTCACCACACTTTGGACCAACCAGCCCTTCTTCTTCTCTCTCTCATCTTCAGGTCAACAGGAGTCAATGGACTGTGGTTGACTCAGCCCATTTCTCCTTCTTATTTTTTTTTATTGACAATTGTCTTTTAATCTTGTAAAATTTATTTTTGGGAAATGTTCTAATTTCTGATTTTGAACATATTTATCAGAATAACTGCTTAATCTTTTTGTTTTTTAGTGCTTTATTGTGAATTATGTGATAGTTTACATGGGAGGACATTAGCTTCACATTGATCCCGTCGTATATCTTTTCCTTGCCATGGTTACAATCCCCTCCATGTATCACCCATCAACCAAAGGGTATACCCCACTAGCCTGCCCTCTGGTCGTCCGCACACAGCCCCTCTTCCTCTCTGGGTCCAAAGTCCTCAGCCACTCCATCTTCCCACGCCATCATCTCTGCCTCCATCGCTGTCATCATCACTGCTTCTCTGGGTAGGGTTCTGTTCTCCGCTCTTTTACCTTGATGATCCCAGGAACCTCCGCTCCTAGACTGCAAGTTTAGTCACTCCCCTCCCTTTGCCACAAAATGTCTACCTTTACATTTCCAGCCCTTACAATCAGTCCTGATAACAATTATTCACTACTGTATCACAAGAGACCTATCTGCATCTCCTTTTATCAGCCCTGCCCAGACAGATTGGATACTACTCAGTGGAGATTCTACCTTGCTCCATGCCCTCTGGATCTAGGTTCCCTCTTGAAAACTTGTAAGCCAGTCACTTCTTGCCTCTGTAGCACCACCATTCTGGGTAGCCAATGTCCAAGTTGCACATCCCTGTCCTCTCCATGTGTGGAGGGATGGGAATGATCTTGGCTGAGAAGATTTGTTCCCTCTTTTGAGCTACTGTTTCCATAGGTGTAGGTCAAGTTCCTCAAATTGTGTCAGATTACTCTTTTTTTCCTCTTCTTTCTTCTTCTGGTTGATCTCTGATCATCAAGCCATTGAAGCCAGGTCAAGTGGGTATTATCTGCAAGTATGGGTGTTCTTACGCATATGCCCTCTCTTCTATCAGCTGGACACTTCACTCTCCACTCTAGTCCTCTGTTGGTATTTAGAGTTACTATCTCCATGAGTATAGGTCAGGCTCATCAAATTATAGCAATTTACCCTTGTTTCCTTAATAAAAAACAATGAAAAAAATATATATATATTCCTCTACTTGAGTTCTGATTATCAAGCCATCGAGGCTAGTTCAAATGGGAATTATCTGCAAGTTGGGGTGTTCTGCATCTCCCCTCACTTCATATATGCTGGATTCTTCACTCTCAGCTCTAGCCCTCTGTGGCTATGTCTTTGTCCATGGGCTCAAGAGTCCCCAGGTCTTGCCACATTGCTGGCCAACCAGGTCTCCATCCGGGTTCACAGGAGTCTATTGAGTGCTGTAGGGTTTAGCTCACAGCTTCATTGCTGCTTTTCCCTCGCTTCCCTTTATTGGTAATGAACATGGTTACCAATCAGAGCGTGCATTCCCATTGAGCTTTAGTCTTAGAAGGGGTTTGCTCTGAGGGGGACCCAATCACTTGCCTTGATGTTTCCTGGGCAAGCCACTGTTTGTTCTTGTAGTAATCAGTCAGTCTGCCTATATTATTTTGTATTTTTCCTGTCAGTCTTTCTTTCAGGAAGTATCTTCTGTTCTTCTGGCCGCTCCAGGCTGGTTTGCTTGTCCTTTCAAGTGGAAATTTCCCCTCAGATGTTTCTGGATGCTGTTCAGGATTCCACGTATGGTCTTGTGTAATGCACAGGCTCCGCAGGAAGTCTCCTTTACTAGGCACGTTGCAGCACTGTGGGCTAATGTGTCAGACTGCAAAGTCGTTTGGACGGCAAAGTCAGTGGTTCAAGCTCACCAGATGCTCCTTGGAAACCCTATACAGGGTCGCTATGGGTTGGAATCGACTCAACGGCACTTAACAACAACAAATCAGTTATAGGCAGAAGACGGACTTACAAGCTTTCTAAGGTGGTATTTCTGGCTATTCCTTTCTCTCCTTCTCCAGTGTCTGTTTTATAGTGGTATGCCAGGGAAACCAAGATTCAAAAGACAGCCAAGCATCTTAACATTATTTCCCCCCATTTCCCCATTCCACCCATGTCTCAATCTCTGTATCCCAGAGCCCTGTTGTTTCAAGGTTGTGCATACATCATTATTTGTCTCTGTCCCACACAGCCTCACATTTATCCTACTGTATTTCCTTTCATTGCAATGATTACAGTCCCCTTGATGCATCATCAAATAATCAAAGGATACACCCCCTAGGCCCACCCAGCCCCTGACTGCCAGCAAACAGCTTCTCTCCCTCCCTGAGTCCCGTGTCCCCAGTCACTCCATCTGTCCACACCATCATCTCTGTCTCCATGCCTGGCCTCACTGCCTTTCTGGGTAGGGTCACACTTTCCACTCTTCTGGCTTGATGGTCCCAGGGACCTCTGCTCTTGGCTGCAAAATCAATCACTTTCCTACTTTTGCCAAAAAAAGAATCTGCCTCTACATTTCCAACCCTCACAGTCAGTCCTGGCAGCAGGTATTCACTGTTGTACCACAAGAGTCTTATCCCCATTTCCTTTTGTCAGCCCGGTCCCAACAGTTTAGAAATCATTCAGTGGAGGTTCTGCCTATCCCTGTCTGGTCTGGAACTAGGCTCCGTCTTGAAAGCTTGTAAGCCAGTCACTTCTTGCCTTTATAGGCTCCCCTCCATTTTGGGTCTGGGCAGTTTCCAGCACCCCTCAAGGTATTACAGTGATTTATAGGCTGAAGATGGGCTTATATATTTTCTGTTGTGATGATTCTGGCTATACCTGCCCCCCAAGTGTCTATTTCAAAATGGTAGACAAGGGAGACCAAGATTCAAAAGACAGCCAAGCATCCTAACATTATTCCCCTCTTTTCCCCTTTCAAGCCATGCCTCAATCCCTGTATCCTGAAGCCCTGTTATTCCTAGGTTGTGCATACAGTGTCATTTACCTCTGTCCCACGTAACCCATGCAAGCCTGCCCAACCGTTCTCCCGTCCGCCTTGTCCTTCTTTTCCCCTCCCCTCTTTGTGCATTGCCAGCCCCCACCCCACCCCCAGCTCCCAGGCTTTCCTGTGTCTATTCCTCCTTTTGTGACTGACTAATTTCACTCAGCATAATGTCCTCAAGGTTCATCAATGTTATGAGATGGTTTGCAGCTTCCTTACTGTTCTTCAAGGTGGAGTAGTATTCCATTGTGTACCACAGTTTGTTTATCCATTCTTCAATTGATGGGCATTTTGGTTGTCTCTATTTTTTTGCTATTGTAAATAGTGCTGCTATGAACATTGGTGTGTACATATCTACTCATGTTATGGGTCATATTTCTTGTGGGTAAATACCTTATGCTGGGTCATAAGGT